TCAGCTATTCCTACTGATTATGAAGTGTACAACACTAAGGAATTTCAAATGAAGGATAATCCCACCTCATTTGATGAAGCCATGAGAAGTGATCATTCATCAAAGTGGCTTGAGACCATGGAAGATGAAATGAAATCGATGAATGCCAATAAAGTTTAAGATTTGGAAATAATTCCTAATGGAGCCAAAACAGTAGGTTGTAAATGGGTCTATAAGACAAAACTTGACTCTTAAGGAAATATAGAGAGACATATAAAACATGACTTGTGGCAAAAGGCTATATGCAAAGAGAAGGGATTGATTACAATGAGACATTTTTCTCCAGTCTCATGTAAAGTTTTCTTTAGAATCATAATGGCATTAGTAGCACATTACGATTTAGAATTACATCAGATGGATGTAAAGACGACATTCCTCAACGGGGACTTGGAGGAAAATGTTTATATGGCACAAATGAAAGGTTTTGTCATAAAAGGAAAAGAACGAATGGGATGCCGCCTAAAGAAATCCATTAATAGATTAAAACAAGCTTCAAGAAAGTGGTACTTGAAGTTTGATCAGATAATAAAGAATTTTGGGTTTAAAAAAATATAGAGGACAATTGTGTCTATACAAAGTTTAAGAATAGGAAGTTTATCTTCCTTGTCCTGTAAGTGGATGATATCTTACTTGCTAGTAGTGATGTCAGTCTACTACAGGAGACAAAGAAGTTTTGTCCTCAAAATTTGATATGAAAGATCTTGGTGAACCTTCGTTCGTTCTAGGGATCGAGATTCACTGAGATAGAAGTAAAGGGATATTAGGACTATCACAAAAGGCATACGTGGAAAAGATCTTAAAGAAATTATGTATGCACAAATATAGTCCCTCACCTGCTCCTATAGTCAAGGACGACAGATATGGGGGTTTTCAATGCCCCAGGAACCAATATGAGCTCAATTGATAAAGTGAAAGTGGTTCCATATGCTTTAGCTGTCGGAAGCTTGCAACATGCTCAAGTATGTACGCGCCCTGACTTGGCATTTATTACCGGGTTTTACTTGGCAGATTCTAGAGCAATTCTAGAATAGAACACTGAAATTAGTAAAAAAAGTCTTGCATTATTTGTAAGGAATGAAAGGCCTCATGATGACGTATAGAAGATCTGGTTGACTCCATATAGTGGGATATTCAGATTCTGATTATGCGAGAGTGAATACATATCCAGACGTAGATTTTCTATCATCTCGCAAAGGGGAGCTATTTCATGAAAAAGCTCAAAGCAAACTATGTCTACATTGTCCACAATGTATGACAGTTTGTAGTGTGTTATGAGGCAACGGACAGGTGAACTAACTTAAGAAGTTCATATCCGGTTTGAAGGTGGTTGACGACATCTATAGACCACTAAAGTTATACTGCGATTATAATCTGGCAGTACAGTATGTTCACAACATAAGTCAAGTGGTGCTGCCAAACACATTGACATAGAGTATTATGTTGTGAAAGATAAAGTCCGGGATCAAGTCATAAGTCTTGAGCATATAAGTACAGAAAGGATGCTCGCGGATCCGCTTACAAAAGGCTTACCACCCAATATGTTCAGAGAACATGATGTTCAGAGAACATGTAGCTAGCATGGGTTTAAGGGAAGATTAAAATTCCTGGACAAAAGAAGGCCCAAAGATTAGTATCTATTTCAGAACAGAGTAGTGTGTTGTAGCTGTTAAATCTATCGGCAATGGACCGGGATGATGAGACATACTCTATGCGCTAATCTGTAATGGAATGAACAAAAGTAAATGATATAAAATTGAAAGATGGAATAAGATCAAGGGGGAGAATGTTAGTTGATCTCCACCAATAGGCCCAACGGTCTATTGGGCCCTTGCCTCTGCTCCCTGATCGGGAGAGCCCAACCCTAACTGGTTGGTGGGCCCCTGTCGCACATCACATATATATAGAGGAGTGGGGAACTGGACTCGGGTCATGAGGTTCACTGGAGCCGTCATCCCACACACAGAAAACCCTAAACCGATCTAAAGACGTGCTGCCAGCGACGGGATGTGCCCCACTGACCACCGTCGTCGCCCCTGCAGGATCACTACCGTACCACTATGGGTCATCACAGCACCACTGGATCTACACTGGGCCACTGGTGATCATCTCCACGACGCTGGACGCCTTCTACACCGCGGCACCGGCGTCTCCCCGTTGCGGTGCATCTACTGAGAAGGCGAGGAGCCTTCACCGCATCTACGGTTACACACAGAGAGGTACACATTCGATTCCTAACAATAATCCGTACTTTTTAGCTGGAACAGGTTTTTTTCTCTCATAATAAATCAGCCGAAACAATGTTTCGGCTTGTTTTTTCAGCGAAACGAACGGGACCGAGATCGGACAACGCTCGTTTTACGTGGTTTCAAGCTCTGATTCCATTTTCATTTCTGAAATATTTAGTTTAAAATCACAAAGTAGATTTCTCTTGAAAAATTCTCAATCTAATGCAAAAACACAAATTTTTTTTACACTAGTCCGCCACGAGGTATCCATTTGGCTAGCATTTTCTTAATAGTAAAACACGCTCTTTCGTTCTGAAAGTATTTTCCAATGTAAGTCTAGTCTACCATCATCAACCTTAGCTTTTCAGTCAATGAACTTGACCTTTTCCATCTTTTCATCATTTTAGTGGTCAAAGGTTAAGAAGGTCCTATTTGAATCATCATTAACTAAACTTTAAAGTTTAGTCCTAAGCCATCAAATAGGTGGACTAAACTTTAGTTTAGCCTAACTAGTTGCTAGGCCCTCCTCGGTCCTCATAGAGTCATAGCTCATGTATCGAAAGAACATAGTACTAAACTTAGTCGTCTAAATTGTCATCTAAACTTTAGTTGAACTAACAACTAGCCCCAAATGGTCCAAACAGACCCTAAAGCTTGAGTTGGACCAGCAAGAATCCAAAAAAGAATTATATTTTAGAAACAATACTCCACCCATAGTTTTTTTAATCAAATTGTTCTCGGATCCGTAGAAGTTTAAAAGCATCACATCTATCCGTCCCAATATGGCGGAAGCAATGTATAGCCATTCTATCAAAAAAAAAAAAAGAAGAAGATAGCACTGCAGTCAATACACCATGTCTTCTTTCTTAGAAACTAGGATAGGATTAAAATTGGAACCGAGGTAGGCCATTATGTCAGTTTCACTGAGGATTTTTTATGATCGTTTTCAAAACTGTCATGCCATATAGAGTAAACTGAAACATGAACTCTTAATAGAAAAGTGTTGTTCTATGGTTTTATAAACATTTAATTTTATTTTATGACTCATAGAAAGTCAGTAACAATGGCAAGAGTTTCATTCATTTATTGTCTGATCTTACCAACGGTGTCTCGCGATCGAAAATGTTTACGTAACAGCTTGCCTTGTCGTCGAGGAACATCACGGGCGGCAAACTGCCGTACCGATGCAGTATTTTACTTTCCGTCAGGTACTGCAATTGCAAATAAACATATGACAGTACTTCCAGTCGTGTGGGCCCGGGGCAGTTTGGTGGACGTGAACCCACCCACGCTTCCACCAGCCCCCAATTGGCACCACAACCAGACGGCGAGCGAGCGAGCGACACACCTCCCCTCTGTCCTCTCCCTCCCCTCCGTCCGGCCTCCCCCCACCCTTCTGCTCCTCTCCTCCCTCCCAAAACAAGAGCAGTGACACGCACGCACGCGCGCCACGAGCGGGTGGAACCTCGCCGCCTCCAGCGGCAGATCTCGCGCCCAGCCCTGGTTTCGACGCGAGATCCGCGCCCGCCTTCCGCCGCTCGCCGCCTCCATCTCGGTGCGTCTCCCTGATCCCCGCTGTCTTCAGGTTGCGCGCTCGCGCTCGTCAAATGCAGTGCGGAAAGATCTCTGTTTTTCTTCTCTTCTTTTGGTTCTTGTTGCGATCCCCTTTGATCTATGCCACCGCCTGCCAGCTTGTCGTTCACGGAAAGAAAATTCCTTTTTTTTTTCTTTCCCGCGGTGTCATTTGTATGGCGATTCACGTGAGTGACGATGGAATTGGAATCACGGCCGGCCGGCCGGCCGGGAGATTGCATTTTGGTGCTCCCGCTCTTCGCGGCGCTGTAAACGGGATTCCGGGTGGTTGGAGCGTGAATTCGAGCTGGTGTTTTTGCCTTTCTCCAACCGTCTTCCCGTACTCCGGACTCTACTGGAACGTCGAATCTCTATAGATTCTACCTGCTGCCTGCTTAGCTGGCTGCAGTGCTCAACTTGAGGCGTGGTAATTGCGATGGGAATCAGATTCTCTCCCGGGCATGTTTGATTCTTTGGTTGCTGACGGACAGGACAGGATGCTGGAGACGGATTCGTTTGTGAATTCCCTTGCTCACCGTATTCTTCTTTCTTATCGCTGTTGCGAATTAGAAGAGCTTGCTCAACCCTACTCAGAGCTGTTTTTTTTTTCTCTCCCTTGGAATGAACAAATGAGCTGTGTTTCTTGATGAGAAAGAAGGTGGAATAGTATCTCACGCTAACAGCATGTTTCTAGAGCTCCGTCAGTCGTTACGTGTCTTCTTCTAAAAGCAATTCGAGTCCTTTCCAAATTCTCCGCGATCGCCCCTTTGCACAAAAATCTGGTTTTCTAAACTATCTGGTGGTTAGGATTTGGTCAACGTGATGTGATCGTTAAGCACGTTTTAACACATACATCTAATTCTTCTGGTTATATGTCTGCGATCATTCCAACCATCTGTAATTAATATAAGAAGTAGTCAGAAAGGCGCGCTTTTCTTCTTTCTTTTTAGAGTCACTTTCTAGGTTTTAAAAATGGCAGTAACCAAGTTGCAAATGCTATTGGTTCCTCCAAATGATGGAAAATGACATGTTTTGTACTGCCTTACTGCATATTATTATATGATGGTTCGTTTGCCACAGAATATGTCAACTAAGTTGGAGTCTCATTTTGATATTCTACTTTTTGACAGAAGCATATACCAGGATTACACTTCCACCTTGAAGATGATGATGGGATTACTAGCGTTTGAGAGCCACCAGGGGCTCTGGAGCAGCGGATACTATTCACAGCTGTTTGGAATTGGAGGAGTTCTGATCACTCTTACCATTCTTATGTTATCCACGGTCTACTTTGGGGGAATTGGTGCTCCATTTGCTCCGTATTTCTGGCCGTATCTAGGACAAGTTCCAAAGAAGAGGGAACACAAAAGGCCTGTGAGAGTGTACATGGATGGATGCTTTGATCTCATGCACTACGGCCATGCAAATGCATTGCGGCAGGCTAAGTTGCTGGGAAATCAGCTTGTAGTTGGAGTTGTCAGTGATGAGGAGATTGTGGCAAATAAAGGTCCACCTGTCCTTTCCATGGAAGAGAGGTATGGAAGAATTTGATTATTTTTTATTCTGTGAAGCACACAATCTTTTTCCCAAAAATCCTGTCCATATCAGCTGTACTGTAGCAAACTGAATGAACGGCTGGTTCATCAACATATTTTGATATAGTCTCATATGCATTTAAGTATATTTTCATAATGATATAAACATTTTGGCTTTCATTACCTGAAAAATGCACCATTTTAACTGTGTTTATATTTTTGCTATTTCTAGGTTGACTCTTGTTAGTGGTCTGAAGTGGGTTGATGAGGTCATTCCCAATGCACCCTATGAGATAACAGAAGAATTCATGAATACCCTCTTCAACAAGTACAACATTGATTACATTATTCATGGAGATGATCCTTGTCTTTTACCTGATGGCACTGATGCATATGCGTTAGCAAAGAAGGTCGGGCGTTACAAGCAAATCAAGCGAACAGAAGGTGTCTCGAGCACTGATATAGTTGGTAAGTCTTAGTAGCCTCAGTGTTGTTTTGGATGACAGTTTCTCCTGAATATGTTATTCACTACTAAGCATATAATGCATTACTTGAAAAGGCTTTTCGAACTTATTCAAAATACTGTCTTCCGCAATCTTACACGCAAATGATATCCTTTTGTGCATAGGGAGGATACTGCTAACATTCAAGCAGAAAGATGCTGACACTGATTTAAATGTTGCCGTTGCTGAGAAGGCTGGAGAGAAATCAAACGAAGAAGTGAAGAGTCAGCTATCTCATTTTCTTCCAACTTCTCGCCGGATCATGCAGTTTTCAAATGGGCAGGTATGAGCTCTGAAGGTTAAGATCGTTTGGCATTATCACTATTACATATTTGTCATCTTTTATGAAGAATGGAGGCCACATCCACGCCCAAATTTAAAGGGCGTACCCAGTGCAGAGAGCTCCCTCTCTGTGCGGGGTCTGGGGAAGGGTGTTAGTGGCAAGCCTTACCCTCGCCTGTGCAATGCGAGGAGACCGCAACTCGAACGCGGGACCTTCCGGTCACAGGCGGTAAGACTCTACTGCTTGCACCAGGCCTGCCCTTCATCCACGCCCAGATTTCCATAAAGGAAATGCGAATAATGTTTAGTGACTAACTTGATCAACCTTTTAGGGTATTTACAGAAAGTTGCTTGGTATAGTATTCTTAGCTAATTAACTAAGGAACTGTTTGTTTTTAGGGATTCTAGAAAGCAGCTTGTAGAACCTGGGTTGTGGAAAAACTAATGTCCAAAATCTGAAGCTGTATGAATTCTAGCTTATGGCCATGTTTATCTTCCTCTCACTATGTTTGTAAGACATGGTGGATAAATATGCGTGCTACAATCTGGAAAAAGCTGTTGGACGGTGGATCGTTGGATTGTGAAATCTGGGCAAACTAGATTGTGGGGTTTGGGGCCACAAGCTGGTGGTTTGTTTTAGCTAGGGATTATAGAAACTAATGCCAGAACCTCTAGCTCAAACAACATATACCACACATGTGATGCCTTAATCTTGATCCTTAGTGTGGTATTTCTGCCTTTTCAATGTTGTTTTGTTTGTTACTGATTTCCTGACATCTAGAGTAGTTAATAGGTTTTCATATATAATCCTCTGCTTTAAATCTTCTTAATGCCCTTATGTTGCTTTTATTGAACAATATGCTCATATGCACTCAGGTTCCTTCGCCAGGTGCTCGTGTTGTCTATGTAGATGGCGCATTTGATCTTTTCCATGCTGGCCATGTTGAGGTGGCATTTTCTTATTCTCTGCAAATCAGCATACTGTAACTCACATTTTTCACTAATTTTCTTCATGTATGCAATTAAAATTAATAGTATGCCTTTTATTTAATGCAGTTCCTCAGGAGTGCTAGACAACTTGGTGACTTTCTTCTTGTGGGTATCTATGACGACCAGTCTATCAGGTCCTAGTCCTGATCCTTCACTTAGATTTAAGAAGCAAACTAATTGACTACGAAATAGTATATATCAAGCATATATCAAAAGAGCTTCTTGTTACAAATTGAAATACCAACCTTATAATTATAATTTGTCCAGGGATAGAAGAGGCTGCCGTCCTATAATGCATCTCCATGAGCGTACTCTTAGTGTTCTTGCCTGCCGCTATGTTGATGAAGTCATTATTGGTGCGCCATGGGAAGTTTCTAAGGACATGGTATGTTTGTCTCCATGAGTTCATTAGTATATATGTTTTGTCATGCTTGAATTATCAATGCCGTGAGCATGCTGCGATTGTTATATGACAATTTACCCTCATGGTTGTTTTTATACCCTGTTACAGATCACTACGTTTAACATTTCATTGATTGTCCATGGGACTGTAGCCGAGGGCAATTCAGCTGTAAGTGCTTAGTATCGAAGATAAAACTTGTCGTGATTACTGAAATTCTTGTTGAAACTCGATGTGTGTGTGCTGCAGGGTGAAATTGATCCTTATGCTGTTCCAAAGAGCATGGGCATTTTTCAGACAATCAGGAGCCCGAAATCTATAACAACATTGTCAGTGGCCACAAGAATAGTTGACAATCATGAAGCTTACAAGGTATGCATTGTCATAGCTTGTAGGTTTATTCGGCTTCTTTTTATTGACGCTAAACATAATTTTCTGGGGCTTATATAAACAGAAGAGGAACTTGAAAAAGAAGGCTAGCGAAGACCGGTACTACACAGAAAAGAAATTTGTTTCCGGAGACTAGTGCTGCATAAGGAGTGTATATTTCTGCCAGCAGTCTGAGGAAATGCATGCACCACCCTCTACTGATGTTATTCTACAGCAGAGATTGGAACAGATAATCAGCAATAGAAAGGTCATTATGATAGTTTGACAGCCAAGCAATGGTGGGGATGGACCAAGCTAGGGAAGAGAGAAAAACTGCCACATTCTTCTGTTGTCGCCCTTTTAGGAACGCTCACATGACATGAAGAGTTCACATAAATGATTCTTTTTTTTTTGACTTCGTTATCCCTGGAGCCTGGAGGGGATATATATATTTGTAGCAGAAGGCCTTCAGCAAATCATTGTTGTATACTTGTGTGTTATTACTTAACAGCGCGTGTAGTGATTAGCATTGCATACTCCCTGATTGTACCATGGTATATTGAATGTTTATACTGCTGGAAAAAAGGACCTTGTGATGGTCAGATGCTTAATTTATTTGTTGACAGTCTTGTTTGGTGTTACTCATTTGTTCCTTTGTACTGCAAATTGAATGTATAATTTGATTGCTCAGGGCTAATCAGACAACCTCCAGTCTTTTTGTGAGCTGAGTATGCGCCTGACGTGCCCTGTGTTTTTGGGCTAGTTGACAGACCAGCTAACTCTACGGTGAAGAAAGTAAAATACAACAATGATCGAATTCTGTAGCTAAGGTGCAAAATCATGTATACCTTCAGAAGGATACTGGTTCACAGTAAAATCTTTTGCAATCATCATAGTACTACAGAACTGACGATTAGCATATATTGCAACAGCACGAAGGTCATGACACCATCGTTTTGTTTCTGTTTGGTTGCCGATGCCTCCTGGGTAGGTAGGTGCTAGAAAGGTTACATAGTGCCCCAGCTGATTCAGACAAACATGTACTGTCGTTGTAGGCAAACATTTGTATGTCCACATGACAAAAACATTGAGGGGGTGTCATGGAGCCATGCAAATGCATCCAACTGATATTAGAGAGTCAGGGATTTATAGTGGTTCAGGATCACAAGGCACCTTACGTCCGGTCGACGAGCCCCTAGGCAAGAAAACCTTCCTAGGGGTCACCCTTGTGAATGTACTGTATATATTATGAGTTATTGGGACTTGAGTCCCCCAACGAGAGAGTTACATGTGAGTACACACATAGTATCAGTGTAGGTCATTTCGGTTTCTTTATTTTGTCAGGTTCACTCTGCGTCTCCACGATGGGCAGGTGCTATGTCCTTCCTCGAGTCAGTCACGTGTCTCCTGGATCCCGTAGGTCTTCACTTTCACTTCAAGAGCCGGGAGGTGGGAGCCGGGAGTCGAGACACGTCTTCAGTATTGGGAGCAAAGGCATGTCTTCAAGGGTTGGGAACCGAGTTCGTGTCTTGAAGTCTCCGTGTCCAAGACTGAACAGCAGCAGCATGTTGCGTGAGATGAGACGAGGGGGGCAATCATCAGAAGGTACCTGCACTTTGTAGGGATAACATCATTTAGCATAACCTTTCACCTCAAAACATTTTTTTTCCAGTTTTCTACTATGAAATTAAAGAGCATAGCTTTAGCTCTGGTTCTATGTCAGAATTACTTACTAACCTGACCAGAAGGGAGGATGCTACCCTGGCTGCGGCTGGTATCGCCGGACATCGGCTTTGAAGTCTATTGGCGACGCCTGCTCTGCCTCTGCGCCCAATGGTTATTCTGAGAATTTGCTAGCAGGGGCAGACGGGCAGTGCCCACTGTACCATCATGACCTGCAGCCTGGTGCTGACCTTGAGTTGGCAACAGTAGTTTGATCATGAACATTTCTGGATCACTGGACGCACATTAGCTGGTGATGTGTCTGTTGCTAGTTGCTAGTAGCTTCTCTTGTTGCATCATCTCTAGAAACTCGTTATCCTGGTGACAGCAAGGCAAGAGCAGAATGGAATCACACTCCAAAACACATATATTCAAATAAAGGGGAATTGCTATGTATGGCCCTTACCTGTTGCACATGCTGCTCTTGAAGTAATAGTCACCCTTGATTTTACAATTAGGAGGGCATCACTTGCCATCTGCATTACCTCCTGTAGTTTGATCCTCCTGCGATGAACAAACATGGAGAACTAGTTCACTGCACATCAATGAATGCTGCTGCACCCATGAAAAGCACAACTATATGACAATATAAAGTCAACAAGTGGCTTCCTCCCACAAATAATAAGCAGAAGGTGATAAGTTCAACATTAAGGTACTGATGTCAGCTCTCAACTGATCCTTTGAACTGACTCTTGACATGGCTACTATAATAGTAAGCCAAACATATCATGCCGGTGACTAAATCACTAAAACAATTATAAATACATGAAGGAAAAAAGATTATGTAAATTTAACAAATTTCTTTCGGTTAACACAGCTAGATGCACCAGCTCTGCTGACAAGTTTTGGAAATAAGTACTAAAAGGAAAAGGCACCAAATAACCCAAAAAATAAAGAAGTTAAGATCAACAATTGGATTGAGCTCCTAAATAATGTAACTGATTGTGTATGGGGTGATTCTGCATATACGAACCTGTTTTACATACGTGTTAAGGTACATGCAGATGCTTGCCAACTCAGAACCACGCATGGATACAGAGAGCATCCAGTGACGCCAGAAGAATGTGTATTGTGTAACTCCAAGGAGAGAGAGACCTGCACAGTTGATTAAAATAAAGTGGACTGATTACTCCTATGCAACAGTAATTTGGCGAACCACAAGTGAAAAAGATAATTGATCTGACGTTTTACTTACGAGGTTCAAAAATCATGGGTAAATTTGGTGTGCAGACAAGTGCAGGAACCAAGGGGAGCACAGCCACAGCCCACAGAGTGTAACCAGGAGAGTGTTTGGTACCTTCAGATTCTCAATATTGGAACGGTTCCTGTTAACCTGCGCCGGAGCTGCATTCGATCTGTCCCCCACCAGTAGTTCTGACGGACATCCAATACTCGCAGTGATCTTGGGATGATGTCCTTGTGCAGCGACTGGATGATGGCTGGACAGTAGCCGATGGTTAGTCGTTGCAACGAGCTTGGGAGGGCCTCCTTGGGCAGCGACCTGATGGCAGGACATTCGTAGATGTGCAATTCTTGCAGTGAACTCGGGAGACCGTCTTGGGGCAGCGACTGGATACTTTTGCAGCCATCAATCTCTAGTATCTTGAGGTCGGGAAGCGCACCTATTGTCGACGATAATAATAGGAGAACAACTTGCTAGAATTCTCACTCACCAATGAACGGAGGGAGCGAAGACCTTGGAGCCATCCTCCAGCTTCCTCCAGGCACTGCAGATCCAGCTCCTGCAGTTGGGGTGGCAAGAGCACTAGTCCTTCCTCCTCAATTTGCTTCCACCTCCCTTTGAATTGTGCAGCTTTTTGCCCAGCAGGGAGGCACTGCAGATCACGACAATTCTGAAATCCGAGGTGCTGGAGGGAGGTGAGGAGCTGGATGGCTTTCTCTTGCTCCTCGGTGAAGCTCTTCACCTCGATATCCAAAGAAAAGACTAGTTTGGTGAGGGAGGACGAGAGGAGGCTGCAGATGGGCGTAGCAAGGATTCCCCCGACATCATTCGTCTCAACATCCCCCAGTTTTGGTGGAAGCCCTTGTCCATGAGACCATGAGGCCTCAAGGTCCGGGCCGACGAAGAAAATGGATGTTCCCGAGAGTGATAGCTTGGTAAGGCAACCTTGGGTTAGGAGAGGCTACAATCTGATGTTTTCAGCTCTTGAACCTCGGCTATATCCATAGACGTATAAACTCTCAAGGGAGGTGAGGTTTGAGAGAGGCACTGGTGTCTCTGCACCATTAAGTCGAAGATTTCGCAGGGAGGTTGGGAAAGGGAAACCAGGAGAGGAGGAAGACGAATAATAGGAGAACAACTTGCTAGAATTCTCTATCACCAATGAACGGAGGGAGCGAAGACCTTGGAGCCATCCTCCAGCTTCCTCCACTGTGTTGGGGTGGAGCCTCAGACCTTGGCACTGATAGATTTCCAGCTCCTGCAGTTGGGGTGGCAAGAGCACTAGTCCTTCCTCCTCTGTTGTCGAGCGTTGCAGTTCCACCTCCCTTTGCAATTGTTCATTCCCTGCGAGATTCATCTTCTCGTCCAAAGATGGTGATGTGGATATTCCTGCGGTGTTTTGCTCCAACACACCCAACACTGTCAGTTTCCAACAGTTAAACATATATAGTTTTGTGAGCCTGGGAAAGCAAGATAGTAGCCTTGTCAGCTCCTTCCCACTGCAACCATCGTTGCCTGCCCACCCAGAGAACTTCAACTGGGAACTGATATCCGATGTGGCTCTCGCCTACGGGCAATAAATTATAGCCACTACTCCAAATGGACAGTTTCTTCAGGGACGATAACATCACGAGGTGATCCAAAGGTAGAGGCGGGCAGTGGCTAACTTCCATTGTTCTTAGTCCTATTAGGTTATTAAAATCCAGCACCTTCCAGAATGCCCTATCTGAAGCACCTCTACCCTTATTAATTGACAAGCTCACATCAGATTCATCATGTTCTTAAACGTAACGACTCCAAACCGACCAAATTACCTGAGCCCACATCTTCCATAGTAACACAACACGGGCCATGAGTCCAAGGAATAGGAGGCAAGGACAAAAGGTTTGGACAACCCCTAATGGTAAGCTCCCTGAGTCTAGGAAACCAAAGCCATGGTCGGTGCTTCTTGTAGGCAGCAAATAGGGTGAAAAACTGGGACCACAGACAGTTCAGGACAATACTGGATAATGAGCACCTCCAAATGAACGAACAAATTGCAAGACACATTTCTAACACAACTACTTTCCACCATTGATGTGGGATGGCTCACACTGTGCGGGCAGCTCACAACCCACTTTCTTAATCTTCTCACCTTAGTAAGTTCTATCCTTTTCAAGTTGTGAAATATTTGACTTTGTATACAACCCATGTGCTCTATACCAGACTCATCAACCAAAAACAACTCTCCCAATGGTGGAAGCTCTTTCCAAGGTACATTACCAAGCTTAAGAGATTCCAAGTTTTTAACACAGAGGTTTGCACCTAGCCATGTTGGGCAACTAATACCTCCATGCCCTCTAATGCATAGGTGACGAAGGTTGCTATGTGGTCTGAGACTTTCCAGAACATCCTGTTCATGTATAAGGTCCTTCTTGCGCCAATCATCAGTATTCCATTCTAATTTTAGTTCATGTAAGCGGCTTTTGTGCATCAGTTTGGCTCCAACAGCTTCCTCTTTTGTTTGCACCTTTTCAAGGTCACTAATTTCAAGTGATCCTCGAAGCTCTGTCAACTTCCCGAGTTGACTCAGCTCAAAACCCTTTTCATTTCTCACATTAAATTTCCTTAGCTCCTGAAGGAACTCTAGTTTTCCCACCTCAAATATACTAGTGAGCTCATCAATTGGCACAAGAAAATGACGCAGTTTTACAAGGTTACTTATATGCCCTTTCAAATCAAAGGAACCCATCCATCCTTGTAGATCTAGGACTTCTAAATGATAAAGTCTAACCAAAGTAGGTAAGCATAGGTCCAAATCACCCCAAGATGACTTCATCCTTAGGTAGCGAATATGAACAAACTTTGGAAAGTTGTGCAACATATCCTTGTCCACATTATATGACACTCCAGACAAATAAATAGTGCGTAGGGCTCTAGCTTCCCTTAACAAGTCACCAAAAGTTAAGGCAAAGCTACCATGGTATGTTCCAAACAATATTAGAGTATGTATGTTTTCAACTTTCAGCCTTTTACCTAACGCAATCACATCCCTTTTAAATTCGTCGAAAAGTCATTCTATCACCAATCGCTATGTCATCTATAATGATAGACAAGTGACGTACATTAGGGGATATTTGTATGGACCTCACATTTGAACTACGTATGCTCAGGCATTCATACGATGAAACCTTTACTGCCAACTCATGTAGTAGGTCATGGACAATATAGTAAGGACAACCGTCATCTTTCTCATTCTTTTTAAAAAATCCATGGTAAACCAAGTCATTTAAATAGCTCAGCCCAATATCTTCAATTCTTTTGTTATGATCTGATGACTGCAATATACCTAGTCCTATCCACAAGTGAATTAACTCATTGCTGCCAAATTCATGATATTCAGGAAACAAAGCACAATATGAGAAACATTGCTTCAGATTAAAAGGAAGATAATCATAGCTAAGCTTTAGAGCTGGCATAATGTCATTGTCATTGGTTTGTAGCTCCCATTCTTTGCTTTCTAGAATTTTTGTCCAATGGTCTCAAGTAAGTTGGTTTCTTAGTAACCTCCCAACGGTTTTTGCTGCAAGAGGGTTCCCCTTCAAATTTGTCACTATTTTGTTTCCAGCATCAAATAATTTAGGATGGTTTTTCCATGGCTGTTGGTCACCAAATGCACACGCTTCAAATAATTTCATAAAATCTGCAGCTTCCAAACGACCCATTTCTATAGGATAATCAGTTGTCTTAACCATGTTTGCCACCCCAAGACTTCGAGTTGTCACTATAACCATATTGCCTTTTTTCTCCCCTTTTCTAAAAGGCGCTAGCAGTTTTTTCCACTCATCCTCGTGATATGTCCACATATCATCCAACACAAGTAAAAAACGCTTAGCTTTTATTCTTTGTTCAATTAGCTCTTGGTCACTGCTATATTCCTTTTCTTGTTTAGATTTAGGTATTTTTGTTACTGCTTCCTGTGCTAGCCTAGCGGCACTGAAGGTTTGAGAGACACATATCCAAACTAAGATATCAAAAAGGCTCTTCAGCTCTTGGTATATGTGTTGTGTGAAAGTTGTCTTTCCTACCCCCCGGGCCAACAATAGGAAGCTGTGAGCTTCAGCCTGTTCGGCAGACCGTAAACGATCGTGGATTATTTACTGTTGGCTGGTTTGGTGTGAGAGAAAAATACTGTTCCAGCTTATAATCCACGATCGTATACGAGCAAGCGAACATGCTGCTTATTTTAAGAGTATTCACCATTGACAATGCATTCTACAGTACTCTTTTTCTGGGTGTCTCTCCCAAATAATATAGGTTCTACGATGTATGGAGTCTGGCAGAGCTACCTTAGGGCCATAGAGGGCCATGCCCCCCCCCCCCTCTGCCATGCATCAAGTTTCATAGTTGTCATGTGCAAATGCATGTATATTTCCCCACTGTCTACTGACATAGCTGTATGCATAGTTGTTTTGTCTGTTACTACTGACTAGATGCCTGATGTATGTAAGCTGGTGCAATGCTTGCCTGTAGCAGTACGTTCTTGAGGCCCGTTTAGCCCCTGCTTGCTTTGAGCGCTAGCTCCGCCACTGCATGGAGTTGTTTTAGGTTGATCCATAGCATTGTGTTGGATAGCGGCACTGTTGGAGGCTTGTAGCTCTATAGTAAGCATAGGGGATACCCTGGCATAGAGGGGCTTGAGCTTCATCCTTTTAGAGATCTCCAACCTATCAAACTTTAATTTTGGTGGTTCCCTTTCCATTGATGAGGCACAGTGAGAATGGTCGTTGCGAGCACATGAAAAGGAGCAGCATGAGAGTCGTTTACCGACAGCTTTGGCCGTGTAGCAAGCATCACGGACGAGGTCGTGGATGCAGCCGCGAGGATGCACGTCGGCGGCGGCATGGTAGGTGCCGTCGAGCGTGTCCTGGATGCGGAAGTAGTCGAGCTCATCGAGCACGTCGTCGGCGCTGTACGCCAGGTGGCGGAGCTCATGCAGCAGCGTCACCAGCGCGGGGCTGCGGTGTCACGGGCGTTGTCCAGCATCGCCTGCGCGTAAAACAGCTCCAGCTTGAGCTCGCGCGACGTTGGGAGTGAGCCCGGTGGTGGCCGCCCATGCCTCCAGTAGACCATCCTTGATAGGGTCCAGCGCCTTGCCCACCACCCACAGCGCCGCGTTGATGGCGGCCGCCTCCATGCCTCCACGTACCACGCCTTCTCGATGTAGAATGCTGCATGCGAGGAAGACAAAAGCCAGAATAAATGCTCAAATAGATGTCGCAGGCAATAGAAATGAAACTTATTAGCCATTGCCGGTATGGTACTGCATGCTGCAATGCAAGTGCACTCACCCAAGGGGAAATTAAAGGAGCAATGAGAACTCAATCACAATTCACAATCAACACTTTATGCAACCCACAAACCACAAGCTGCTGCTGCTGCCGGCCGATTCGAAAGATGTGTGAGCACAGTGCATATGGGCAGGCAGGCAGATAGATAGAGAGGGAATAAATAGGAGAGGTGACTTCGTGGATCAGAAACCTTGATCACGCATCAACGAGGAGTGAAAGCTAGTCATGTTCCTTTAGTCTTACCTTCCTTCCTTGTGCTTGCAAAGGAACGGATCATCCCCATATTGAATGCTATGCACGTATTCCCTGAATCCCTGTCCGGGCGCAAGCAAACTACTGCAGCATCTATTCCTTGCGTGCCTTTAAAGCCTATTGGCGACGCCTGCTCTGCCTCTGCACCCAATGGTTATTCTGAAAATTTGCTAGAAGGGGGGCAGTGCCCAGTGCCCACTGTGCCACCATGGCCTGCAGCCTCTTGACCCTGGGTTTGTAGCAATAGTGTGACTGTGTGTGTGTGTTTTTTTTGAAAGGAGATTAACTCGGCTTTTAAGAAAGCCAATAACCACGTTCATTACATACTGGGGTTTCCAGTTTGAAAATTACTCAAAGAAAAACTCCCACCTTGGAAGGTCACAGCAACTCAACAGCAGAACAGAAAGAAAAAAGATCGAACATCTAACAGAAACTCTAGGCACTAAAGAGTAACAATGTCCGAGCAAGGGGCCGGTAAAATGAGGCTTCTTATGCATCCAGTCCGACAAGCCTTGAGCCAACTCCTTCAGCTTGGCAGCGTCGCTCTCCTTGTGTAAACTGCACCACATCTGCAGAGAATTGATTGCATCATGAATTACAGCATCTGGATTAATAGGGAAGCGCTTGTCAATAGCCATTTTATTTCTATTCCTCCAAATTGACCAAGCTAATCCAGCAAAGAAAACAAACAAAATCCTTTTAGGCACCCCCAGCCACCTTGTCAGCCACTGAGCCAACAGCTCATTAACAGAAGTTGGGAAGCTCTGAGGGTTAAAGGCGTCTCTAATACAGCACCAAATGTACTGAGAAAAAACACAACCAAACAGAATATGATCAACAGTTTCAACCAAGTTGCAGACACTGCACAGCGGGCTACCATGCCAACCTCTCCTTGACAAAGCTAAGGCAGTCTGTAATTTTTTGTGAAAGACTTGCCATAGAAAGACCTTAACGTTTAGAGGGATTTTACTTTTCCAAATAAGATCATTTATTTTGTCATTGACCCCCCATGGGTAAGACAATTGTACAGAGACTTAGTTGAATAAACCCGAGATTTCTCTAGAGCCCAATAAACCTGATCTTCTCCCTGACCATCTACCTGAACCCTTTGAAGCAACTCATGTAATTCCCACCATTCACGAAGAGACTCACCTATTAAACTTCTTCTTAAAGGAATATCCCATTCCCCATTGTTCCAGTTTTTGCTCACAACAGCTTCAGGGTTCTGACAGATTGCAAAAATATTACTAAACTGTAATTTCAAAGGTACCCTCCACCCCCCCAGTCCAGGAATCATGCCAAAAACTTACCCTATCACCCTTATGCACATTATACTCAGCTCCCCATTTAAAGAGATGCTTAACCTTGTGTAAACTCCTCCAAAACTGAGAAGAGCCCACACTAGTTGAGCTGTAGAAACCATCTTTTTTCAGATATTTGGCTTTCAGAATTCTATACCACAACTCATTCGATCCTTTTTAAATTTTCCAAATCCATTTGGTAATTAGGCATTGATTCATTAAGTAAGTATTAATAATCCCCAACCCTCCATGGATCTTGGGTTTGCACATAGAAATCCATTTGGCCATATGGTATTTGAAAGTGTCCCCAGCACCTTGCCAAAAGAATTTAGATCTAATAAAGTCCATCTTAGCATGTGATCCCTTAGGTAGCATATAAAAACCCATAGTGTACATAGGGAGATTTGTTAGGCAAGAGTTAGTTAGAATTAATTTCCCCCCAGAGGACATAAACTTGCCCTTCCATGGGTTAAGTCTTTTCATCATCCTACAAGACAAACCCTGGAAGGCCCCAATGCCTAACATCCTATCAGACACAGGGATACCTAGGTATTTGACTGGAAGTTCCCCTAGCTTGCAGTTCATCATGTTGGCTTTTCTTTCTTTTTCAGCCTGTGTAAAGCCAAAGAATATCACTTCACTCGTGTGATAGTTAATTTTTAGCCCAGACAGCCACTCAAAGCAATATAATAGGATTTTCAAGTTTATGATTGACTTATCAGACCCATCTGTCATTAAAACAGTGTCATCGGCGTATTGTATGTGAGAGACACCCTTATCAATTAGTTTGTCTAAAACACCCACAATAAGATCCCTCTCAACCGCTTTGTCCATCATAGCACTTAGGGCATCAGCCACTAAGTTAAAGAGGAGAGGGGACAGTGGATCCCCCTGCCTAAGCCCCCTCATAGTCCTAAAGTATGGACCCCTTGTCCCATTCACATTAATGCAAACTTGCCCCCCTCTAACAGTTTGCATAACCCAATTTATCCATTGATCAGGAAAGTTCTTCCCTTTCATTGTTTCTTCTAAAAAATCCCATCTCACCCTATCATACGCCTTTTCGAAGTCTATGAAGGCAGGTTCTGGGATTCTTTTCTGAAAAAAATTCGGAGTCCACCGAACTAGACAAATTTAGGAAAATTCGGACCGGTATCCACTAAAAATTTGAATGAAATTTGAACAAAATTTCTCCAAACAGTCGAACATGGTAGTGGGCATGGAGAGGGTGCATACGGTGCTGGTGCAGAATGCACAGGCGACGGGGAGGGCGGCGACGACGAAGTGGTGGCAGCAGGTTGGGCAGATGGCAGCTACGGAGCGTCGAGGAGCGTCCATGACACGGGGGCGGCGTCGAGGAGCATCCAAGGCGCGAGCTCAGACGTCGGGAAGCACCACGCAGCTCTCGAGGTGGCGGCGGGAACGCCGACGCGGATTTTTTTTTTCTTTTGACGGCGGCTCGCAACGAAGCGGACGCTGGATAGGAGAAAATTGAATATTTGACACCCAATTCGGGGCCGGTGAACATTTGACATCAATTTGCGCGTTGTAATTTAACACTCTGGCTGCGAATTCATTGAAAACAGATGTTTTTTCCTCCTTTTCTCCATTTAACATTTTTTTCTTTTTTTTTTTTTGCTTTCCAAGGCAACGTCGAGGATCATCCATTTCTTCTAAGAAACGCGCGAGCTCTTCAGACGTCGCCGCCGCCCGCTCTTTTTGTTCTTCACGCCGCCCGCCATTGGGTGCCGGAAGAGAAGCATGAGCCGCGTACGCAGCTCAAAAGGTGGCGGCGATGGAACGCCGACGCGGGTTTCTTTTTTTTCTTTGACGGCGGCTCGCAACGAAGCGGACGCTGGATAGGGACCGTGTTTTCAACTTTCAGAGTTGTATTGATTTGATGGGGAATGTTTGTGGGCTCAAATTTTTTCTGGACCATTTTCAAATTGATTTGATGGGGAATGTCTGTGTGCTCTTTACTGGACCATAAAATGTGTTGCAAATTTGAATGAGGCCGAAATATTTGGACCGATTTACTTTTATCTCAGGCCAGACCGAAATGGACGAATTTCGGTGAAATGGGCCCAATCCCAGAACCTCTGTGAGCATGAACATTGCTGGATGCACATTAGCTGGTGGGTGCATCTGTTGCTACTTGCTAGTGTCTTCTCTTCTTTCGTCATCTCTAGAATCTTGTTATCCTGGTGACAGCAAGGCAAGAGCAGAATGGAATCACACTCCAAAACACATATATTCAAATCAAGGGGAATTTTCTATGACTCTTACCTGTTCCACAATCCACATGCTGCTCCTGTAGTAACCCTTGATTTTACAATTAGTAGGGCATCACTTGCCATCTGCATTACCTATAGTTTGATCCTCATGGGATGAACGATCATGCATTGAGAACTAGCTCACTGCAAATCAATCAATGAATGCTGCACCCATGAAAAGCACAACTATGTAGTTGTGACACTATAAAGTCAACAAGTGGCTTCCCACTAATAATAAGCAGAAGGTGATAAGTTCAACACTGAAGTACTGATATCAGATCTCTATTGATCCATTACATTTACATGGCGAGGAAGAAAGGGCGAGTTGGCAATTACTGGATCCCCTTTACAGACTCTTGATGTGTGCACTGTAATAGTAACCCAAACATATCATGCCAGTGACAAAAACAATGGTAAAGACATGAAGGGAAAAAAAATTATGTAAATTGAGTAGATTTAGTACCGAAAGGAAAATGCACCAAATAACCGAAAGAAAAGAAGTTGAGATCAGAAAAAATGGACTGTGCTCCTAAATAGTGTAAGTGATTATGTATGGGCGATTCTGCATATACGAACCTGTTTTACATACGTGGTAAGTAGAATGGAAGTGGAAAGTACATGCAGATGCTTGGCAACACAGAAAGTACCCTGCAGATCCTTGGGCAGCGACCTGACGGCAGGCAGCACAATCGTGGATCTGCAGTTGTTGCAGTGAACGTACGTCTTTCGGGGCAGCGACTGGATACGTTTGCAATCAACGATCTCTAGGATCTTGGGCCGGGAAACGAAACGGAAAGCGCACGCAGAAACAAAACAAACGTTTGCTGAACAAAATCCTGCTTTGATGTTTCCATGCAAAATCATGTACAGAATAACTTTAGAAGGTCCTGGTTCAGTTAAAACTACTCAAACCATCATATGCTTACTACATCAGTATACCTTGACAGAGAAGCTACGCCTACATGTCCAAAGAACTGGAGACTACTGCAACAGCACCAATTACAGGAAGCTACACATTATAGCAACGGCACATTCAATCCAACATGTACAGAACTAGCAGGTGACAAAGGCTGAATGGAAACAGTGGCACAGCACTTCAGGAGTTCTAGTCATCAGAAGAAACCTGCAGTTTGAGATAGGATAACATCAGTTACCATAATCTTTCACCTGACAAACCATTTCCAGTTTTTGACACTGAAAGGGCAAGAGCAGAGCTCATATTTATTCAGTCAAATGCTTGAATGTCAAAATTGCTTTACTAACCTGACCAAAAGTGAGGGTGCTGGCCTGGCTGTGGCTGCGGCGGCAGCGGTGGTTGGCATTGCCAGCTATCCTCCTCGATGTCCATGGCCATGGGCGCCGCCTGTTCGGAGGCCAATGCTGGTTCTGAAGATCTGCTCCCTGATTCAGTGCTCACGGTGCTGTCATGGAGGACAGCAGCCTCTTGGCCCTGAGTTGGCTGCAGTGGTGACGGTGAGGGCGGCATCAACATGGTTGGCTGCACCTGCACAACAACTGGTGCTGCACCGGCGTCTGCATCTGCCAGTGGTTCCTCTTCTTCCATCATCTCCGGGATCTCTGCCTCATCCTGATGACACCAAGCAAGGGTCGCAAACATGAAACCGTAAGCAAGTGATCTGAGTGTTTAAGGTGCACAATGTTGCTGTCATCATGATCCGCCGTCTGACAGCACAACAATGAGAATTCTTAACTGAATTCGGTATCTTGCCATGTGGATGACATTCCATATGGATCCTGAAACCGCATGCGAACGTGCTAAAGCGTTGTACTTGTACATAGATGCAGGAACATGGAATCCAAAGACAAAATAAGGAGCTTGTTTAGATTGTTATATGCCTTTTGTATACCCTACTATATGAAAGCGTGTCTCTGTAATCAGACTGTGAACGTCTTGCTCAACTAGCATACTGCATATAGTACAGAGTATCAACGCCATCCCATGGCATGCAGAGCCGTTTCATATGATTTTTTTTTTTCAAAAAAATTCGCAAGAAACAGTTCAATTCACCAACGAAAAGAAAATCACACCCCCAAACTGTTCCATATGCCATACCTGCAGTTTGATCCTCTTGGGATCAAGGAACAGGGAGAATCCATGGCTGGCCACCTCAGCATCCTTCCTCTTTATGTTCACGGCCACTAGATTAGCCATGCCCCCAAGAAGTCCAAACACTAACAACTCAAAACGACTTGGACAAGCTCAAGCTGCCATTCTCGTAACCTATGATTTGGGTATATAATGAGGCGTTTGGGCCAACTTAATAGCTACCGGCAAGAGTTGACCAGTAAACCCAAACGACTTGGATCTGGATTAGTGCCTTGCAAATTTAACGATTTTGTGATGTTGACCAGTTTGTAGTTGACTTTTTTTTTTTGCCTGTTGTGAACCTGTGATACTTGCCTTTGGTTGGTCATACCCTCGTCGCTTTTATTTTTACCTTTCTTCTCTGTCATTGTCTGTGATAAGGAAAAAAGAAAGAGGCTGCTTATGCTGTGGTTGTCATAGGTATGTTTTCATTTAGTTGAAGCGCTGCTAAGGATAACATAGAAAATCACTAGTAGTGATGATTCTGCACTTGAGCGTATTGTTTTGGTCACATGTCATAGTTTTTTTTAGGAAAAAAAAAAGTAGCTTCCCACATGCTACGCTACTCAGTCAAAAGAAAAAACACTTCATTTGTCAATCTTCACCGGAGATTATTTCTGAAAGCTGCACAAAGGATAGCTAAAACCATGAATGAATGACCAGGACTACATGCAGATGCAGTCATATCTTTTTACACGGCTGCACCAAGTCATACAAACTCGTCATGTCTCCAATAGAAATGATGTGCTATGAACGAACAAAGAAAATGAACCGCGAAAACAATTTCAATCAACTGGTATATCATAAGGTTCTGGGAAGAAAATGCAACTACAAAATCAATATCATTTATTCCATCAAACAACTACCCCAAGATATTGTAATTCTCTATTACAACAGTAACAGGGCTGGATTCAGCCCTGGCAGGCGATAAAAATCACCACATGGACTTAACGACATGCTTAACAACAGGTAAAGGATTGCCTCAACTGCCGGTTGTATAATTAGCTCAAAACTCGATTATTTCAAAGTGCCAACCAGATCTGACTCTAACCAATTATTCTTCCCAGAGAACCATGAAGTATCTTTGCACTACTCAGTTGCGCTGACCAGCAGGAACTCCCCTTCACAAACTAGGTCACCACCAACATAAGCTTTTCCTTCCATCTTTGCGAGTCCAAACCTCTTCTGATACTTTGTCAGTGTCATCCTCATGATCAATGTATCCCCAGCAATCACTGGCTTCCTGAACCTAACTTTGTCAATCCCGGCGAAAAAGAAGTTGTCTTGAGATCCACCAACTTCAGGTTGCAGCATCACGAGACCCCCAACCTGGGCCATAGCCTGTGGATAAAGGTACAAATAGTTTCTAATGTGAGTTACTGAATGCAGGCATGCGGTCAACAAGATACAAACTACATGTTAATGCAGGCGACTATAAGCATATCAGCTGGTTTGGGTAATCTACTAGAATATTCTGATTCAGGCCACATTACATAGTAGAAAACAGTAGTATAGATCAAATGGTGTGGCCAGAATGAAAGTTTACACTGCTGAACCTATCAACTGCTACATGTCCATATTTGGGTAGCTATGGCTCACAGTAGTCAGTTTATGTCAGAAAACTCATGAAGAAATCAATTCCTATCAGCAGAATGACAAAGAAGAAAAGGTTCAAAGAGAGAAGGCATGCTGTTAACGGAGATATGGCAGTGTATAATGTGCATACAATAACTGAGATAAAGAAAAAAAACTTCCACACACCCATATGAAAAAATGCATAACTTAAAATTATTGTTGATTTATGGAACTTTTAAAAGACTGTAGAAAAAAAAAAGACAATGGACAAATTATGATCATGGACATCCCAACAAAATGCTTTGACACCAACTATATCAAAAATGAAGTCAAGGTGAACATAATCTCAATAAATTACAACCATCCTTCAGTGGACCGAGAATTGGTTATCCCCTCTGGTGATGTTGTAAGGAGAATTTAATTATTATCAGTGATCAGTAAGATCTAGAGACAAAACAAGATCAGATACACAGTGAATCGGGGCATACCTCGACCATGAGGACACCAGGCATTATGGGGCGTTCAGGAAAATGTCCTGGGAAGAAGTTATCATTTATTGTAACATTCTTGATCCCCACTGCATATTCTCCAGCCTTGTATTCAATTACTCTATCAACCAAAAGGAATGGGAACCTAACATGCATACCCACATGCATAGGTATTAGATAGTTAAAAAACAATACACACCAAACAAGTGCATAGTTATTTCAATGATAATGCTTATAGATCTCTAAATCACAACACGTCATGAAATCAAAGGGCCATGGTACTCGATTTCCATTTTGGATACTCAACATTTCAACACCCTTTTCAGTAGCAAGTAAAACTTGTTGCAGATATGCATGAGATCCAGGGTACAGTTGCATATAGTACGACAACACAGATCAAATGTCTGGAATCCATAAAGAAATGCAGCTAAAGTACTATGTATCAGGGGTCGATATGGAGATGGAGTTGTGGCGACTACAGCAACCTCCAGAGCTAACAGTAGTGAAGTTGCAGCAGCCCTTGCCCTTTGGTGTTTTGTGCCAAAATTCTACTTTGCACTTTCCAGTAAGCAATCGGCTGAAATTGCACTACATTTCAGGTTTGCATCAACTATCCACCTTGTCTGTCATCACATTTTCTGATTCTTTCTTTCCATTGTTTAGAAACAAACTGAGGCCTTGTTTAGATACCCTCAAAATTCCAAGTTTTTTCACTCTCTCTCCATCACATCAATTTTTAGCCATTTGCATGGAGCATTAAATGTAGGTAAAAAAAATAACTAATTGCACAGTTTAGTTGGAAATCACGAGATGAATCTTTTGAGCTTAGTTGGTCCACGATTGGACAATATTTACCAAATAAGACGAAAGTGCTACTATTCATCGGGTTGAAATTTTTTTCAATCTAAACAAGGCCTGACTCTACATCAGCTCACAAGGAGACCAAACCGCTAAGCTATCTTCATTATCTCAATGCTTGAGCTCCAAACCTTGAATAACCTCTTAAAAATGTGTAGAATTATGCTATATGCACACGGGCCTCTAGTCCTCTACAAGACTACAACTGCAGAGATCTAGAGGTGTGCAGCAGCAGAGATAAAGCACTGTATGCTCATATTTGCAAAGGAATGGACCACCTCTTCTGGTAGGTCAACGTATGGTCAAAGTTTCAATTATTTCAAGGTGTTGCATCAGCCTAAGAGCTGTGTCGTGCGATTGCAAGAACAAGGAAGCAAGCGACCGGCACTCACCTGTGGGGGAGGATCTCACGGATCTGGTTGATGTCCATGACGCTCGGGAAGGGAGGGAACCCTGCAGCACACAACCATGAAGCAGCGCGAAAGCTTTAGAGAAACCAAATCAGCAGGAATGCACAGACGAGACGAGACGAGACGGGTGGAGGCATGAGGAGAGGAAAGGGCCCGACTTTTCTCGATGGGGACCGCCTCCGGCTCCGTCTCCACGCTGTCGCCATCCGCAGCGCGGCGAGCGGCGAGGAGGCGGCGCGGCGCCCGCGCCGGTGCCGGTGCCGCCGCGACGGACGCGGAGAACGCGCGCCGGGGCAGGGCCAGGTGGCGCGCGGCGGCGCGGGCGGCCGGGAGCAGGGGCGCCGCGCGGCAGGCCGAGGCGGATCTGGGCACGGTGGCGGCCTCCATTGGCGCGGCGCGGTCGCGGACGGCACGATGCGCGGGGGGAGCAGCGAGCGCGAGGCGGGCAGGTGGAGAAGATGGCGATAGGAACGAGGATGGCAAAGGCCGAGGGGAGCGACCGAGGTTTTGTGGGGGCTTTGCTTTGGGAACTCCGTTTCAGGTTGTTGGTTTTGGTTTGCTTTGCTCTCCACTTGGCTTTTACTATTTCATTTTGTCACTAGCTACTGGCTAGTGACCATATATTTTGTCAACAATTTTTCATAGAGATTTCAGGCTCATTTCTTTGGTATAAGTTACAGTGATACTCTATAAATTAGAGCACGTTTGATACCAGCGCTAATTGCTAGTTAGCTAAAAAAATAGCTAAAATTAGCCCCAGTGAATCCAAACATGAGGGCTAATTTTTCATGTCTTCAGCTAGTTGTTAGCCAACTAACTAGCCAACCATAGTTAATTTAAGCTAATGTTTAGGCTCAATTAGTAACTAGCTCTAGCTCTTCTACAAAAGCCCATAATGGAAGCGGGATAGAAATGGCTAGTTGGACAATAAGATACCCATATTGTACGTAGTTTGAACAAAGCCCTTTTTGACCGGTTATTTGCATTTTTTGAATTTTGTTAGAGATTACTCGATAATTTCTTAGAGATAGGAGATGCCACTAGTTAAATACAAAGAAAAAACTTCAATCATATGCTAGCCAATAATAACATACTCACGGTAGAGGGTACCGATTGTCCAATAAATCCCTTTGAATTGTGAGTGGAAATGAGTAATTTACCCATCGACACAATGGGTTTAGGTCTCTTAATCCGTGCCTTCAAAAAGCACCAAACAAAAGTAAAGATATGTCAATGGCAAAGCAATTGCTTTCAACTTAGTCAGTTTTCCCATAGATAATTTTTAACAAATGAGCCTTCCAAGACTCATCATAAATTTTTATAGATAAAACCATTATCTGAATCCTTTTTCTCTTTCTAACTTTCCTCTTTCAAAATAACATAGTTTGCCCAGAATTCATGTCCTCCATTGGTGCGAACAAGAATGAGAGCCCCCCTATTGCCACGCGGCTTAATCCCAATCACGTCCTAAAGCAATAACAGAGCAAATAATTAAAAAGTACTCCACCACAAGCAGCAAAAAAGCACGCTCAACTGATCCTCACTCAACGGCTCCGTCCTTGCTCAGAAAAAGCCAAACCACTCAAAAAATGGATCTTTTTTTTCTACCTTTACAGCTCACTCTGTTATTCCACTGACACCACACATATTCAAACTCTAAGAACCACTTTGGTAAGGCACATGGAAGCATGACTCCATTAAAGACCTCTTTGGTAAAGCCTAAAAAAGCTCAAAATAACATAGGAACATAACTCTAGTAAAATACTGGACCTCTTTGGTAAGGCTTCTAGGCAAACAACACTAGTAGCCTTAGAAAAAAGTTTACGTTCCGTGTAAGAGAGCTATCATCGAAGCTAATATTTCTTCAAACCGAGACACACTGACACCTTCTTCTCCGTCGATCCCACTACTATCCTTTGTCCCCTATCTCTATTCTTAAAATCAACACCCATGTATTTCTCTCTCTGTAGTGGCCCTGAGCATCTTGACCTCGCCACAATGCTATCCTAGTTCGTTGCTTTGCGTTTGTGTCAAACGAACCTACAGGCTCTTCTGCAAGAGCTTCTCACTGAGGGTGCGGTTTGCTGTGACTTGGAGCTTTCGTGCCGACATGGACCTAGGGAAGGCCTAAAAAAGCTCTGACTCCTAAGGGCAGCTCCAACAACTGGCTTTTAAGCTAGCTCTAAGTATTTTTCTTATATTTTAATAGAAGAGAGATAAAATATAGCTCTTACATATATTTCAAAGTTATGTGAGAGTGTCATATGAGGCTATTTAGGTTAAAGCTATATGCTAAGAATTAACACTATTAGAGAAGTTAGCTTAGAGCTAGACCACTGCGGGCGCCCTATCAAACGGATACCAAAAACAGCTTTTCCTGGAGCCACCAACGAGTCAGAACCCTTTTAAAACTAGGAGCCTGGAAAAACGATAATAAAAAACACCCTTCTACCGGCTCCTGTCAAGGATACTCTCAAAAGCTATTTTGCTAAACTTCGACTAGAGAAGCAGGAACCAGAGCTGAAGTTATTTTAGAAGGAGCTGGATCCCTACCCAGCTGGTCTTAAATCTATCAAGAAAATAGGATAACAACGCCTCGAAATGCATGAAAGTCGGATCTTTATTAAATTACACGAACAACGCAATCTCAAAGCCCATCCTGTATTCTGCAACTGCAGTTTCAGCTACAGGTGGTAACCGTTACAGGCAAAACACACCATCAGGCCACACCATCTCACGACCAACCATGTGAAGCCAGAGAGATCTGCAATGAGCTCCGAAAACATACAAGGTGCATCACTGGCATCTGGTAAGTTGCAAACGTGTCATATATACAAAGATCGTTACTCCATTGCTAAACACTGGATACAGTTGTGATACCGTAGGGCAGCCATAGATGCTATAGTTCAAGCTATTAGCCTGCAGGACCATATACAGAAAGTGGAAGAAAAGAAAAACTCCGCAATCCATGTACATGTGGAAAATCACGTGGTATCCTGAGTACCGCCAAGGGAGCTGATCAAACAGATCGGTGCTTTGTGCAAACATGTAGAGGCAGAAGATGCATAGGGCTAGGAACAGCAACAAAACAGAGAATCATTAGCCATCATTCTTAATTAGAGCTTAATTTCTCATATAGAAAAAAAGTTTTAAACAAAGCATATACACAACAAACAGAGAGCAGGACAGCAGGGGAAGGGTTAGTTTGCTGTGTTATTACCAGCATAAGCAACCGCAGCGCCTGACACCACCCTTCCCAAAGCTGCTAGAAAATACAATGTAAAAACCACCTGTAAGGTTGTAGATCAGTGTAAGGCACAATAAGTAAGCACGACACGAAGGAGGACCAAACTTATTTTCTTTTGTACAAAATGGTTGTGGATCAGTGCAAGCCAGAGAACATGAAGTTGGTAATTAGCAGATCAATCAAAACCACACTAAAACCGAAACACACACACACACTAAAAACGACATAAAGAGCTTTGCTTCTTTTCTCTACTCCATTTGCATGCCACACAACAGCTCAGGAAAAATGCGAACTCACTAGCTAAAATCCTTCAAATGCCAACAAGTTGTAGGTTTAACAAGCATGAGCTAGCAACACATAAATATAATAGAACCTCAACATTTTTTTGTCTCAATCCTCAGGGACAACATATAAAGTCAGTTTTGAGAGCCTACCTTGAAAAACAGCTTCTTGTCATGTCCAGTTGCAGCCACTCTTAATACAGATTCAGCAGCTCCTATCGTGTTGGCCAAGGATGCAACTATGCTATTTGCCATCTCCTGAGAGGTCTGCCATTCAAGAGGATCCATAGGCACCCTGCATGCAAATTCATTAAAGACAAAATAAGGCACTGCAATACCAATTTCCATTTGTATAAATCATAAACCACAGGTATTTCATAAGAAAGGTTTAACTAAAATGATGGCGGCTATCATTGTTTAATTGGCCAATGACTTTGCCAGTTGCCAATTGTTGCCAACATCAGAACTACTTTATTCAGGAAAACAACAATAACATACCATCCAATATAATATGGTACAGCATAGCCCTATTTTTGAAAACAAGCCTACTGTTTTATTCACTAGTAATACTTGAGGATAAATCTTAAGAAGCAGGAAATTAGTACCAGCAGAAAAAAAGCACCAACACTTCAAAAGTCAGTAATACAGTATTAAATTTAACGGGAATACATCCAAGTTAAACTTAGTATTCAGCACAATTTTTAGTTGGTAAGAAGCACCCCAAGAAAGTGAATCAGATCAGGTAGTGATGGGTAGTTGCCATATTCAAATTTTCTAATCAATCTTGTATGAAAAATCAAATATATTGTAATTGATTTATTTACAATAGTTAACTGGTGCAAAAGTATTCCAATACTCGGAATTTGGTAAAATTCTTGCCAGGGTATGAAAATGTAAGAAAGCTAATGCTGCCTTATACACTGATATTTTTGGCATTATCCCCACAATGAAGAGATTATGGAATTTTCTTGTTTCAAAACTCAAGGAAAATAAATGAAATGCGGTGGCTGATTAAGTCATTCTATTTTGCAATTTTGTGTGTTTCACATCAACCCTTTTTAGTACTTTTAATGTGCTCTAGCATGTTCATTCTGTATTACAAGTATGATGATGTTGGTTCTAGACAGCAAAGTCGGTTGGTAGCACCAAGTTTACCATACAACAAGCAAAGTGGTATATTTGATCAAATTTATACAACAAGCAAACCGGTTGCAAGTATCTTACATTCGTATAGGACATTTCATATTCATACCTATGGACTTTTCCCCAGAATATTATAATTGGAGATCCATAGTTGATTTGCTCTATTTACTTACCTATCCCTTTTCAGCCTTTCCCCAGTTTTGAACAGCCTACTAGCCACCAGCAGCTTATACTCCCACTAGCCTACATACTCCTACGTGGACGAAGAAATCAAGAATCCTAGCCAAGCTACATGCCATCTAGCAGATATAAATTCCTAGAGGCCAGAGGGAGCAGCTCTAAAATTATGAGTTCCTTTATTCCACACTAGCTATAAGCTGCCTTCGAAGATTTTCAGGAGCTTACTGATTAGTGACCATTTTTTCCCCAGGGAATACAGTAAAAGCATGAGTAGTAGTAGTGGAGAACTAGTGTTGGCAGGGAAAGAGAAACCAACAGTCAGTAATGCTGCATTAGCAACAGGAATAAATAGATATCAGTTTGAAGTGTTGAGTTGGTAAAAAAACCTTGAGAAAGTGAATCAGATGAGCGCCGATGGATGTGATTGATAGTTGATGAATTCTATTCAAATTAGTTTGCAATCCCAAAGCATCCAGAAGCAATAGTACTATCCTTCAGAAGTGGTGCAGCCACACCAAGGAATGGCCGAATGGGTTATTATCTAGGATGGATATGAAAATGCAAGCAACCTAACTCCAGCCAAGCGCCTAAAGCCCATGCTCTTTTAGTTATTCTCATGTGCTTTATGTTTGTGTACAAGTACAAGTGTATATTCTCTAATCAAGCAACCTGCTGTAGGTTTCTACACATAACAAAATCAGTTGTTACTTTTAAGCTTACCAACAAAACAGAAATTCGATACAGCATTATTTCAGTTCTACGGTTCTACCACCAAGAAAATCGGGCACAGGGCACAGGTGTTATAGACATGTCTGGCCTACTTCATACCAATAAGCATTTTCCCAAATGATTCCTGAAATTGAGGAAATATAGTTGAATAGCCCCTCTTTATTTGCCTACCTCCTTTCCCCTTTTGTTGCATCATCTACTAGCCATAAGCTACAACTACCAGAATCATCTACTACTAGCCTGCTACTGTGAGCCGAGAAATCAAAGATTCCTGCTGGACAAACCACCACACCTAACAATCGTCATAAGTTCATAAACAGCGACCAAGCTGAACCAACAACACAAGAAATACATAATTGCTTCGATTGGAGCGCGGAACTAGCAGAAGGAAGCGGGGGATAAAGAAAGGGGAGCTCACGAGATGTGGAGGTGGCGGAAGAGGAGGCCGAGGATGGAGAGCGAGCAGAGGAGGACGAGGAGCACGTCGGCGGCGAGGGACACCGCGCTGGCTCGCCGCACCGCGCAGTGGTAGTAGACCAGCCCCCCGCACACCGGCCGGCCCCCGTTCCCCCTCGTCGCCGCGGAGTCCCCGTCGCCGCCGGTGGGTCGCCACCGTCCTCTTGTACTGGATGGGCCGGACCAAGTCATTTCATCGTTGGGTTACTAGCCCTTAGGTGTGGTCTAGACGTTTTGGGCGCTGGTCAGATATCACGTGAACGTTGTGGTATTTAGATACTAATAAAAAAATAAATTATATAATTCGTCAGTAAACTGTGAGACGAATTAATTAAGCTTAATTAATCTGGCATTAGCATATGTGTTACTGTAGTAATTTATTGTTAAATCATGAACTAATTAGGCTTAAAAGATTTGTCTCGTAAAGTAGTTGTAATCTGTGTAATTAGTTATTTTTTTATCTATATTTAATACTCTATGTATGTGTCAAATATTCAATGAAATATGATGTAAAGTTTTGATGAAGAAACTAAACGAGGGCCTAAGTAATATATTTCGCTTGCTGGGCCTAGTTCCACATATGCCATGGACAAGTCGACAACCAAGTTTTCATTTGCTAAAAAAAACCAAGTTTTTCAGAACGCTCAGCGTGAAAGTACTTTTAATGACAGATTTGGTTGTTTTTTTTTCATTTTACTTAACTTGGCAGTTGAATAAAAATACTGTATTGGTCAAAGTTTGAGCAAAAGACCAATTAATGGTGTCATATGCTTAGAAACGACTGGGGTACATTTTTAGGAAATGATTTATTGAGTACAACCGTTTATGTACAACTTAGTGAATGCGATTGTACAAGTGAAGCATCCAATACATTGAAAACTGCATTCAAATGATTTTTATTAAAGACTGGATTTCCAGTTGTACATGAATGGTGGGTGGTTATGTCTACTGGCTGGTTGCTCATGCATTGCAATGGATTTCTAGTAAAATCTACAACTTCAATTTATTTACCTATAGATATAGAGTTAACACCGCCTATTGTTTTCACAAATTGGCTGAAGTCGATCTTCATAGGCGGCGTGCTCCATCCGTTGATCATGTCTCTATAGAAATCGATTTTTAGAGGTGAGTGGATTTATAATCGGCCTTAGAAATTGATGTAGGGGCGGTTGCAAAAGGCACCTATTAAAATTAAACAAAAAAAAGCACGCCTGCACTCAAGCATAGCACTGCCACAGCGAGACATCGCCGCACCCGCGCTGCCCTCGGTGCTGAGCTGGTGCCGTTAGCAGCTCGTCGTGGCTGTGTTGCGGGCGCACCGTGTCCGCGTGCTTGACATGGCCATGCATGCTTCCCACCGTAGGCGTGCCACACTCGCATGAGGTTGGGGCTCCCGCTGGTTGCCATGCTCGACCAGTAGGAGGTAAGGTGACCCCATTGTGCATGTTGCCCACTGCCCACTAGAAATTTCAAAGTTGCTGCCCACCAACTTTCTTTACCATGATATATATTTCCAACTATAGTCGCGTGAGGCGCGAAGGGTTGGCTAGTGGGCGTGGTGAGTCGGGTGCTGGCCCTTGGCCTGGGCGGCGGCGAGTGTGGGCAGTGTGAGGCACGAAGGGCTGTAAGGTGAGCGCAGCGAGTTGGCACCGGTATGGGCCCTTCGCTCGGACGACATGGCGAGCTTGGGCGGTGCAAGGCACAAAGGGTGACAAGGAGAATGCGCGCGGCCAGAACAAAGAAAGAAGAGAAAGGGGAGGCAAGAAGAATAAAGTGATAGCGACAAAAATATCATTCATTGTCTATCAACTCTTGGAAAATATTATTATAATGTGTATGGTGTCTTTCAGTAAATTTATCACAAACAATAGTGTTTACAAGCAAATTGAACTTTATTCCGTGCCTACTTGTCACACGACGTCACTTTCAGTATCCTATAGCAAATTTTGCTTATAGTATTTTACATGATCACAGATATGTCATCGGTACAACAACAGATGAATGTCACACAGACTGTAAAACATACTGTACTTTCCATGACAGTAATAGGGAAGGACCCATTTCATAATACTATATGATTTGCAGGATCGATGCATGTCAGATGAAGCTGCGTGGAGTCTGATCCCGGCGCCCCGCTCTCCATCTGTTGTGCGCCATGAGGCAGAAACAAACTCTTAGACGCTATATAGGATGTTAATTAATTAGAATAGAGTAACTGGTTATAACAAAAAAAAAAAGCTCTTGATTTACATTACCTTGATATAGGTGAAGTCAACATACAGCGTGCATGCAGAATTACTCCCAGGTATTAGAAGTATAGTCCTAACGGTCAGGAGTTCAGGACCGAGGCGGTAAATGCAGGGCGTAGATGGTGTTGTACAAGTAGAAGGAAGGCTTGTTACTGAGCTCTATCCTTTTGGATGTACCAAATAAATTGAGGCACAGCTGCAGCCAGACGAAGGTGAGGCGCTCTCCTCCTCTGGCCAGCTGCGCCGCGTGCTGCTCAGGCCGCGTCTTGCTGGCGGCATAGATGATGAGCCGTATCCACACCTCCTTGGTCTCCTCTAGTGTTTCCTCGTCTAGCCGGAGCAGGAGCACCAATTCCTCGAGAGGATTTGCGTAAACATGCCTTTCCGGCAGCCAAATCTGAATCCGACGCTGTTGGAACTGTTCTAACATAGCTACAGAGCTATCTTCAAGAGGCAGCAGGGAAGGGCAAGTAACGATGAGGTATAGCATGTAGCGGGACAGTTTCCTGCACTCCTCCATCAAAAGATTAATACTACTAGTATGAGCTGCTGCACTGCTAGTATTTGCCTGCTGTCCTGGTGCAGATTTACACAGGATTTTCTCCGTCAGCACATGCATACTGAGGATAGTGCTGCTACCAAACCCGTAGTCCAAGAACCGTGGGTCTCTAAAAGTAGCACCAAGATTTAGCAACTCTCTTGGATTTCCATATACGAAGCGATCGACCCCGTCTACCAGACATTCTAGCAACCCATCCACCTTGACATGCTCTCTGTCCAATACCATGCTTATGAAAAATATTTTCTCCTTTTTTTTCGTAGAACACGAATTCACGTGTATTTCATTAAGGAAGAGAATCCGAAAAGGTAATACAAAGACGTCCGAAGGCGAGATGACTGGACCAGCGACAACCAACCCGCGCTACTCTCAAAGGACTACATGGGGAACAAATTTTGCGACAAGAGACAAGGGAGGAGGGATACTATGTTGGATACAATATGGGCTTGGCCTATATAATATTTAATAAATCAAATAAAACTCTATGGTACGTAACATTAAGTGTTGTATGGTTTAATACTATATGGGATTTTGACTGAACGTTGACTCAGTTTATATAGTTGAAAATTATTCATCTAAATTGAGAAGCTGAGAAAAGGATAAAGACGTGCCACACGCGAGCGCGCCGCCGCCGGCGTGGGCGTGGGCGCAAGCCGTGGTGAGGCAAGGCGAGGCAGACATGCGGCGAGCGAGCGAGCGGGCGTGGCTAGTCTTTTGCCACTTAATCCATATAATCACGGGAGTTACTCCCTTTAATGGTGGAGGCGAACTGATTGCGTAAGTTACCGTCCTTTCCACTTCTGTTTCTCCGCTGCATCTTTCCCTTCCCGTCGCAGCCATATATCCGCAGTCCTCCGTCAATCCAGATTTTCGTCTTTCGCAACCGCTCCCGAGAGAAACTACATCTCAGCAGCCTTCTGGCTTCCCTATCCCATACCTCTGCGCGCACGGAGTAGCGGGAGAGCCAGTGCCTCCGGAACCCTCGCCCGCTTGAGAACCTTGCACGGGGTGTGCGGCGATTAGGTTTTTGGGAAGCGATCCGCGACTGCTCGTCCACGTACGTCTTCTTCCTGGTGGTGATCGCTCTTGGATCCCGTCCTCTTCCTGGTGATTGCCTGCGGAACATCAAGGCGTCTTCTTCCTGGTGATCCGTTCGTGGGACTGCACTACAAACATTGTCCTGCACCGACTGTGGTCCGCGACTTTGAGCAACGCACTATGTCGACTAGTGCGAATGGAGCCTCCGATGCCCTCGGCATGGGACCCTCCGCTGGGTACAGTCTATTCTTTCTGATTACTGTAATATGTTCTTTTACTGTATATATCTGTATGTCATCTCTGCATGCTGTGGCATTCGTTAGAGATATACACATACACATATATGCTGTCACGAACCTGCTGATATTATTTTTCTGGATTAAACTGATAATAAAAATATCTAAATTTCTAACAATCCAAAAACCTAATTTTAGGCAATTTTCTGTCAGTGGTTTTGCTGCTGCTTTGAAGCCAAATAATTTTGATGGCAAGAATTTCATGATATGGGGTACCAAGATGGTATTGTGGTTGATTGCGATGAACTGCTATCACGCCGCATAGGGGAAGCCTGAACAGTTTACTCCTGAGGAGGAGAAAAAGTTCTTGGCTGCCGATAACCTGTTTCGAGGCGCCGTGATCAGTGCACTTCATTCTAAGTATAAAAAAAACTACATATCTTGCACATCAGGCAAAGAGTTATGGGATGCTCTTAGGCAAAGTTTGGAGTTTCTGATGCTAGCAGTGAGCTGTACCTTATGGAGCAGCTGTATGACTACAAAATGGTTGAAAACTGTTCTATGGTCGAACATGCTCATGAGATACAGGCGCTAGCAAAGGAACTAGAACATTTTTCATGTTTGTTGCCCGACAAGTTTGTGGCCGGCGGTATAATCGCTAAGTTACCATCTTCTTAGAGGGATTTTGCTACTTCTCTAAAACACAAAAGACAAGAGTTTAGCGTGGCTGAGCTTATTGGATCTCTTGATGTTGAGGAGAGGGCGAGAGCAAAAGACAACCGTGGAAAAGGAGTTGAGTCTTCCGCTGCCAATATGGTGCAGAAGAAAAACTCATTTGCATCTCGTAATAAAAAGAAGAAGAATATGCAAGAGAACAACAATGCAAAGCCTAAGCAAACTGCACGGTTCAAGAAGAAAACAACAAGAAAGTTGGAGGTTGCTTTGTTTGCGGGAGTGATGAGCATTGGGCAAGTGCGTGCCCAGACCACAAATATAAGCAAGAAAAGAAATCTGCAAACATGATGATTAGCGAGACTGGAGGAGGAACATCTGGGTATGGTAATTCTTTACCTTTTGTTCTCTCACTTTATCTTTCACCTGAGTGGTGGATGGACAACTGATGTTATTTTTCTGGATTAAACTGATAATGAAAATGCCTAAATTTTTAACATAATACGGCATAGTCACAGCTACCACGAACACCGAGAGCGCCGTGAAGCCAGCCGCAACCCACTGGTCACCCTCCTCGAGCACCCCCCGTGCTGCCTGAACCACCGAGCTGTGCGTGTTGTCGAAGACACGGGAGTTACGCTCCTTCCAAAGGCGCCAAGAGAGAAGGAGAACCGCCACGTCGAACCCCTTGCACATCGGCCTCGGCACAAGACATCTCGCATCCATCCACCAAGCGGAGATCACCGCCCCTGGCTGCGGCGTGATCCTTTCCCAACCGATGGGACGCAGAAAACGGTACCAGAGCTCCCTTGCGAAGACACAAGAAATAATGAGGTGATCGACCGTTTAATCTTCCTGATCGCAGAGGGCGCATTCGGCCGAGTCCTAAAGTCCATGCCTCATTCTGTGTTCCGCCGTCCAGATACGGCCATGCAGGGCTGGCCAGAAGAAGAGCTTGACCTTCGACAGCGCCGAGGCCTTCCAGAGCTCATTGGCCCCCAACATAGATGACATACCGAGGAAGAAAGAGCGGTAGGCCGAGGATGCCGAGTAGGAGCTGTCAGGCATCGAACGCCAGACGAACCGGCCACTCACCAGCGCCCAAAGATGGACCTCCTCAAGCTTCGCCCAGAGTTCGATATAGTCGCACAGCACCAGTGCTGTATGCGCCCCGGTGATATGGCGCACCCAACGATGTCTAGAGAGCGCCTCCTTGATGGACACCTTGAGGCAAAACCGACCGATCGCTCAGAATAAGTGAGGCGCGAAGGACGCAATCGATCCGTCCGACAGCCAAGAGTCGAACCAAAACCGTGCAGAGACCCCATCGCCGAGCTCCACCACAACGGAGCAACTGAACATGGAGCTTACCAGTTTCTCCGACTTGGAGGGAAGCTTTGTCCAAGCTGGTGCATCGGCAGCCCTCTTTTGCCATTCCCAACGTAGGCGTAGTGCAAACCCGAGGATCATGATGTCCGACATTCCTAGGCCACCAAAGCATTTTGGGGAGCACACAATCGGCCAAGCCACCTTGCACTTCCCCCCGGTTGCGGTTGCCGTTCCACACCACAGAAAAGCTCGACGGCTCCTGTCGATCTGCTTGATCGCCCAAGCCAAAAGATAGCTTATGATGGAGACATGGACCGGGATAGCCGACAGCGTCGCACGGGCGAGAGTGAGCCTA